AACTTATATATATATATATATATATGATACCAGGAATATAACTTCAAATATATTCATCTAAGCCATATTATTTAAGTCTTTTTTGATTGTTTTCAAAATTACAGTAGCGTAATTCAGCAGAAATATAAGATTATATACGTAGTTTATCATGGTAAACCCATTTAGTTTTCAAATTCTTTCTAAGCAAAATTGTAATTAACATCATATCAAATACAACTGTAATACTTGCTTTTTTTTTAAGTATCATGCATAAATATTATGCCTTTAAATATCAAAACTATTTTAATACCTTCTTGTCATACTTGTAATTGAGATTTTATATATTCCATACTTAATATCAAGCTTACCACAGCGAGACATTGTCTAAATATCGACACTTCCCTTTGTTACTTTTTTTTGTTTCGATAATAGAAATAATTTCTAATAAATATAACTGGTAGTGAACAAATTGAAGCTGAGTGCTCAATTTATACCTTTATATTCTGTTAATATAAAAATACTTCTTCTTCACTTCCAAGGATTTAATGTTTGGTTATTAAGTTATGCACGTTTATAAATACAGAATGACTTTCCCTAATTATAAAATCTATTAGTTTTTTTTATTGAAAAAAATGTATCTTATAAACACTGTAACAATTTTCTATTGAGAGGGGAGCACTCTAATTATAAAATTATCATTTAATCTTATTGATGTTTACTTATGCAATGTATTGTTTTTTTTTCTACTTAATAGCTTTTTATGAGCTTATATGTTTATTATTCGGTTCTTTTTATTGTTCTTGTATCTTAACAACGAACAATTTAATATTCTTTTGTGCCTTCTTCTTCCCTCTTCTCAAAGTATTATCATTAATTGATCGAACACGTCCGTAACTAAGTAATAAGACCAAATGGGGCTTCTTACCTTACTTCGAAAACTGAAAAAATGTGATCGGGAGCCCCGTATTTTGATTCTTGGTCTTGATAACGCAGGTAAAACATCTATTCTGCGCAAGTTATCCGATGAAGATCCAACGACGACTCAGGCTACACAGGGATTCAACATCAAGTTAATTAAGTGCGATGGGTTCAAGTTAAACATGTGGGATATTGGTGGTCAAAAAGCAATTCGGGCATATTGGCCAAACTACTTTGATGAAGTTGATTGTTTAATTTACGTTGTCGATTCAGCAGATAAACGACGCCTTGAGGAGACGGCAACCGAGCTTGATACTCTTCTGCAGGAAGATAAGCTCCGTGAGGTTCCCACGCTCATTTTTTCCAATAAATGCGATCTTGCAACTGCCTTATCACCTGAGCATGTTAGCACTGCACTTAATTTGCACATTCTTCGCGACAGAACCTGGTCAATTCAGAAATGCAGTGCTAAAACAGGTGAGGGACTTCAGGATGGGTTGAAGTGGGCTATCGAAAATATTAAATCTAGATAGTTATAATTGAATAGGTATTTGTTAAAATCAGTAGGTAGTTTTATTTATTCTTATGAAAACTGTGTAGGTATCAATGCGCTGTGGTACATACATATTTTTGAATTCTATGTACCAAGGGATATTTATTTTTCAGTCCTGAAATTGTATATGTATGACTATTAATATTATTGATACTTTATTTGTTTAAGAAAGTAATGTATTTTTATCAAATTTCCTAGAATTGTTACTGCTTAAATAATTTAAACAGGATCCAGACAGTCTTAGTGCTATCAATAAAATATATAAAACATGCTTCGAGCTTTCAGTTTCTGGAAATCTACATTGGTAACCTTTAAACCAGCTCTGGTCTCTTCTATTTCTGAGGAAGCAAAGATTCGACAAATAATTGGTATCCGTACGAATCGGCCAGTTAATATTCAGATAGTCAACTCAATTATAGAGAAGACCAATAGTGAAGGATTGGCTGGTACAGCAGCTAGAATTGCCCGGGCTGGAGTTTATTTGAATTCCCATAATCCAACTTCAGCTATTGATGAAATTCTTGATGTTCTTCCAAAGATTAAAGATCAGGCACTAAAGCAAATGGCTATTGGAACTAGCTTGCGTGCTTGGAATGACTTGCTGGACGACAAAGAGTCTATTCTGAGTGTTTCCGTGGCTACTACTGAATCTGAGGTCTCCAAAATTCGGACAAAAACAGTGGAAAACTACAATGCATTTAAAGCTGCTTTCCCAAGCAGCTGGCTTGTGAGGCTTGCGTGTGCTGAGTTTAATATGTACCTTGGAAAATCTAAAGATGCGTACAATGATTTTATCGAAATCGAGAAGGATATTAAAAAACTCATTGACACACCATCAAAATTTGTGTATGAAGTCGCCACGAATAAAAACACAAATCCCTATTTACTATTGGGCCATCAGCTTCTGCGATCTTCTGTTCTTCATAATACAAAATCAAAAGCTAACGGTGAGTCAATTCCAGAAGGAACCTTTGGCTTCAATACAGATGTCTTGAATGGACCGAACTTAGATGTTCTAAAAAAGGAATTGGATGATAACCTAAGCGATGAAGAGGTCATTGAAATTGCTTTTATTATTTTTAATGCCAGTTTACTTCACCACTTTCACGATTTCTTTCCTTTAAGATCCGAATACGAAGACTGGGATTCTGACAAAGCACAACATGCAAAGAGGCTTATTTACGGTGCATACCAGGGCGTCAGTACGAATTCTTTTGATAAACTTATACAGGAGGTCCGATCATCGATGCCTCAGGATCCATTTTATGCACCTGTGAACAAACTACAGGAAGTTCTGAAAACCGCACCAAATGATAGGAGCATTCTGCAGTCCATTCGCGTGGCCTTTGGAAACCGATCCGAGACTTCTTTTTCCAAAGGTGATAAAGCTTTTCATGAGGCTACCGACCTCATCGATGGCTCGGACATGTCTCCTGAAGCATCCGGTACAATACGATATGTCCAGCGACAAGCTGAAATTCTCAGGGAACTCTACCAGCAGCTTTGGTATCGTACAAAGGTTCAAATAGGAGTAGCCCTGAGTGAAATGAATCGTTTTCACGAAGCGGTGCAGGTGGTTTCTCCTGTTATTGAGGCAGATGAGTTCATTTACATGTGGCGTGCCTTACTAACACGCAGCCGAGCATACAAAGGAATGGGCTGTATCACCTTATCTGACAAAGATACAAAGCTATTAAATAACCTTAAAAGAAGTTTAGTAGCGAGTCCACTTTATGATGCAGTTAAGCAAGAGCATTAACTGCAGTAGTTTGAAGTATCTTACAGATTTTCATATTATAAAACTAGTATTCGTTACCTTTTTTACTTAACACAATTATTTGTGAAAATAGGTAGCATTGCATTTAGGAATTTTTTCAATGCAAACTATTTTTTATATCTTCAATAGGTAATATGAATTATTATTGTTAATATTTATGCCTAATATAGTCCGGACTGCCTTCAAAACGTTGTAACTTATCTTTATATATTTATATATCTATTATACCGAATGTTTTTCTTTTTGTTGTTGTTTATCAAATGTCATATAGTAGAAGCTTTTCCTTCTTTTTGCCAACCCCTTATTTACTAACCATCACTTTAAGACTAATGTAAATATTTATTTAGAAGAACATTAGTACGAATACATTCATGCTAGATCACGTCTTTCTGAGACGATAATTAGAGCTTTTCTAGGTGATATTCAATTCCATAATATTATTGAATTGCTTTCCACCAAAAGTGAAAGAAAATCCGATTTCAACATTTCCTAGTCTCTCTCTGTTTCAGCACTATACCTATTCATCTAATGGATGGTCATAATGGCACTCTGAATGCAGACATTTTTATGCGCATGCTTACACGTCTTTATCTTTATGTTGGAGATTAGTAGGAACTATAATACTCTTTGACTAAACGTCGCTGTATTCTGCCTATGATATAAGGTTCGTAATTAAACTTTTTATTTTCCACTGCTATCATTCTTTTTATTTATGAAAAAGTCAGAAGACTACATATCTTCGAATTCCTCTACTTTGGTATTTAACTCTATTTTCACAATATATATATATCAACATTTTCTATTCCCTAACACCTCTTCTTAGCTTTTTTTTTCAGGTTATATATATAGTTTTCATCAATGTTGTAATAAGTAAATAACTTAGTATCCTTAATACCCTAGTTTAGATAATGATTCCACTTCTTCAGTACATGGGGCTTGTAAAAAAATGGCCTACCTTCTCAGCTGACGAAGTCGCATGTCATTGTACTCGAGAATCCTTATGGATCGTTATGAGAGGTTCTGTGTATGATGTTACTTCTTACTTAGGATCACACCCAGGGGGGATCGAAACCATTCTAAAACGTGGCGGAGGAGCAAAGGATTGTGCAGTGGACATGTCATTCCATAGTTCAAGAGCACAAAAGTTACTAGAGTCCTTCAAAATAGGTGTTATTGATCCAAACACCACCCCTTCTAGGGCTTTATATAATTTGGCAGATGGGAATACCAATACTAATTGTTGTGTGATCACACGTACTCCAGAAAATACAATAACCGAACCTCAGTGTATCGCTTGTATTAAGGGAAATCATACGAGAATATGATTAACTTGGATATTACGATAAACCATACAAATAGCACCTTACGGCCTTCGTAAGATGACATGATAGTAACTGCAATATTCATTCAGGCTGATCAGTTGAGCTGGTTTCTGTTGATCAAGATCAGTATTCATCCTGAGATAGCCCATACACAAGTTGTGCATTAATATTTTAAAACTAACTTAGTATATGTTTTTGTATATATTTTTCCGTAACACTTTAAGTAGTTTTGTCAGCCCTACTACTCTGCTTTCTTCATACTTAGGGGCACTTAGATAGTCTTTTTATTTTATATTTCTGAGGCTTTCAAGACCTCAATTCACACGAGATCTGCTCGAATACATTTTCCATATTTAATGACAAATACTTAATTTACCTTATTGTATGCGTTACTGTTTAAATAACTGTGACATAACATGAGAACTTGAACACTGAGTGAACTTATT